GGTACGCGGGCCTCTCACCGTTGTGGCCTCTCCCGCCGCAGAGCACAGGCTCCGGGCGCGCAGGCTCAGCGGCCATGGCTCACGGGCCCAGTCGCTCCGCGGCATGTGGGATCCTCCCGGACCGGGGCACGAACCCACGTCCCCCGCATCGGCAGGCGGACTCTCAACCACTGCGCCACCAGGGAAGCCCCCTAAACAGTTCTTTTTAACACAGCCATCTTTTAGTACTGGCACCAAAAGGATGTGAAAAGGTACAGACTCAGGCAGACTGACCTGCACTGAACCCGGGGAGGACTCAGTGCTGGCGCTATGTCAGCTGGGTCCTACTTCGGCTCAGGGACAACAGACCACTTCCCCACCCATGAGGCCACACTGCTGCCTTTGAGGCTGACGGCGAGGCAGGTCATTACTCTTCCGCAAGCTCAAATGTCAGCCCTGTGGCAGCCAGGACGGAGGGAGAGCTCTGAACTATAAAAGCCACCAACAATTAGAGCTAAAACGGTAAAGGTGGCTCTTGCTGAGAGGAGACTGACAGGGGGTTCCGGGGGAAGCTGGGAAGGATAGAGAGGGATTTTTCGGAAGACCTTTCTACACTCAACGAGTCTTACTGATGGTTCCCTAAAGGCCCAGTGCCAGGGTCACCTTTGCTGGGGGCACCTCCCCTCCACAGCCCAGCGGTGTCTGCCTCTGGGGGTCTGCCCCCGCCTGCACCAGACCATGAACAGCTCTGAGCCAGGCACTGTGTCCTGTTCATCCTGTTAATAACACAAAGCTAACCTTCCTGGAGTGCTCGTCGTGTGTCAGGCACAGGGCCTCACTCCACCCACACGCTCAGTCCTTGCGGCAACACTGAGTGATAGGCTGCGTTACCGGCTCCATTTTACAGATGAAGACACTGAGGCACCGAGAGCTGAGGTAACCTGGGCAAAGCCACAGAGCTGCTTGGAGCAAAGGCAGGACTCAAACCTGCTGTCCAGCTCCTGAGCATGCGCCTTTGGAGCCCCTGCTAAGCTGGCCACACCAGCAAGTGCGTTCAGACTAAGGTGATGAAGGACTGGCTGCTCTTGAAACGAACTCAAGCTGGGTGTCACCCTGAAAGTATCTGCAGACACGAAGCTGGGGCCAGCCTGCATGAGTAACTAAGGAGAGTCCCAGCATACCGGCTCAGCCCCATTTCTGTCCCAATAGCACCCGCCAGAGGCTCCGATGCCCACGTGCCGGCACACACATAACGATAAGATTTGAACACGGGGAGCCGCTCCTGGGACGCAGTGCAGACTGAGTCACGCTCTTTGAGGTTCTTCCCATGGCTCTCAGATTCTTTGCTCTGTACCTCGGCTTCCCCAGCCCTCGCAAAGGTTCAACTGGTAAAACAAGCAACAGATACAGGCCCTCAAACACTGAATTCATAACGTGGAAACACTACTTCCACCCCATCATCAGTGAACTCCCCGTTTCCCCCCGTCTGGCCTGGCCCACCCTGTCACCCCACTGGAAGCTAGGAACCAAAGGGCACTGACGTCACACACCTACAAAGCCTCAGTGAGCTGGCAGGGTGGCTGGGCCTTGCCACTGTTAACACCAGCGGGGAACAATGACTCCAACGCTGACGAATAATTTGAAACAAATGAGAAGCCATGTAAACATTCTCCCCCGCCCCACCCCACCCCACACCCTCGCTCCCAAATGATAAAGCCCTAAGATTAAGCAGGAGGGAAGAGGGGGCTGCCCGCTCTGCACCCTTTTTCCACTGTGGCCCAAACACAGGCCTCCCCCAAGTTGGGCAGGAAATCAGTCTCAGAATTCTTTTGGGTAGACTGCAGTCATCACCACCTTCTCTAGAGACTGGCTGAGGACTGGCCTCATACCCCTCACACCCCTGTGTCCCCAGCCCTCCAAATGGGACCCACGGTGAGGTCTGAATGGTACCAACGGAAGCAGTTGGGTCCTTGAGATGCCTGCCCACCAGCCTAGGACAGACTGGGTTCCCCTGGAGGCCCCGAGCAGGCCCGGCAGGCACTGTGGCAAACAATTAGCTCCTTGGCCCTCCTGACTGGGGCAAGCCCGGCGCACACTGCTCCTTGGTCCCCACGGACTTGGCACATTCTGTTATACGAGGTGCCCCGTGGCAAGGAGACAGCCTACATCTGGGAGTCGGGCAACCTGAGTTCCGCCCCCGGCCTCTTGGCCCGTGGAGGGTGCCCAGGCCTCGTCCACAGGAAGGACCCAGACTGTGTCCTCCAGGAAGCCCTCCTGGAGTGCTTGGGATATGCGCGGTCCTCTTCCTTCTCTCCTGGGGAACTGACTGCTCCATGCTCTGCTGGGCCCCTATGTGGGAGCCCCCCACCTCCTACATGAGTATTCACGTTGACTGGTGGGGCTGGCAGTCTCGTCATCATAAATAATAGCCCTCACTGCTGGCCAGGGCCCGGCTGGGGAGCTCAGGCACTGTCTTCATACATCTGCACAACAGCTCCACTCAGGCGGCATTATTCTTATCAAGCCGATTCTCACATGAGAAGCTGAGAGGGGAAGAGACTTGCCCAGTGCTCTAGAACTGGTGGAGGGGGATAGGAAGCCCGGGGAGACTGGATCCAAAGCCCTTACTCTACTCTTCCATGACGTGGCTTCTCTGAGTGAGGATCCTTCGAGCCCAATTGTAGAGGCGAGTGTAAGCTCCCTGGGCATCTGTTCTTACAATCGTCCCCCGGCCCACGTGCTCACGTCTCTAAGACCCAGGGCAAGAGCTCCCTCCTCTCCAAAGTCTTCCTGGTGCCGGGCAGAATTTGCTGACCCCTGGCTCCCAGACCAAGCAGACCCTTGTTCACAACCTTCTTCCTCTGCCCCGGACCTCGGGCTTGGCCATCCTGTCTCTGCTCTGGGCTGCTGTCAGCCCAGAGTCTCCTGCACATCCCTGCACCCAGCAGAGGGTCGGGCTGAGCGGGTGCTCAGGAGTGAGCAGGACAGACTGAAGGGCACACGTGTGCTGCACACATCAGTGACAGGGAGCTCTACCATACAGGGCCAGTCCCCTGGAGCAGGGCGCCGTTGCGGTTCCTTCTGGGCAGGCCGAGGGGCTCATTCACGGCTCTCCATAGCCTGCCCACTTCTCTGCCCGCCCCACCGACACCCGCTGTTCTCTGAAACCCCCCCGTCAATCACACATGCCTTCACACGCACATGTGCCCCTCTCCCTGGGACGCCCTCTCCCTCCTGGTCCAGACAGAAGTTCTTCTCGCCTTTGAAATCCACTGGAAGCACATTTGCTCATTCCCTCTGCAGACACTGAGTACCTGCTATGTGCTCCACTCCCCGAAGTGAATACCACTGGTTAAGCCCCTGCTCAGCGAGCCGCCGGCGGCGTGTGGGACCCAAGCGTGGAGGCGGAGGCTTTGTGGAGGAAGTGATGGGAGCCGAGGCTGGAGAACAAGAAGTGAGAGATGCGGAAGCAAAGTCTCGTGGAAGGTGCAGAGCGGGGCACAGGTGGGGAAGGGCCGCAGCTACTTGGGCAGGAGAGGAGTTCCGGAAGCTTTGTGGCCTGCACATCCCTCCTCAAGAAGATTCCCCCAGGGCTCTCACAAAGCCAGCCCTGTCTGGGTCCTCCTGGCCCCCTCCCACCAGTCCT